CAGCAGGTTCCATCTGTTGTACATTTTGAAAAAACTTTATTTATTTGTTTATATAAAGTTTTCTTTCTTTGCAGCTAAATCCCGTCTGACGGACGTCGGCCTTGCCGACACCATGATCGGTAAGGCGGTGGAGCACATGTTYGAGACGGAGGAGGGGCCGAAGGAGGAGTGGAGGGGCATGGTCCTGGCCCGGGCCCCCATCATGACCACCTGGTTCTWCATCACCTACGAGAAGGACCCGGTCCTGTACATGTACCAGCTGCTGGACGACTACAAGGAGGGAGACCTGCGCATCATGCCCGACTCCAGTGAGTGCACGCGCTTTGGTTTCCTTAAACCTGTCGTAGCTCCGCCCCCTCTGACCGTTCTCGCGTCCCCTTCACAGATGACAGCGTCCCGGCGGAGCGGGAGCCCGGCGAGGTGGTGGACAGCCTGGTGGGCAAACAGGTGGAGTACGCCAAAGAGGACGGAGGCAAACGAACAGGCATGGTCATCCACCAGGTGGAGGCCAAACCGTCCGTCTACTTCATCAAGTTCGACGACGACTTCCTCATCTACGTGTACGACCTGGTGAAGACCTCGTAAAGACTCTGCGGACGTTCCCGTGTCACGCCATCCACGCGCCGGAAACRAGAAAAAGAAATGCAGCTCATGTCGACGCACCTGAAGCATTTAACCCGGCGGTTCCTCACTCCATCAGTTTTCAGACAGAAACAGGTTCAGATCTTCTTCAAACACTCAGACACAAATCAAGTCTTTTTGCTTTTCACCTGAAAGTTCAGTTTTTCTACATAAATAGGATCAAACAGATTATTAAGTTTATTTACCAGAGAAATAAAACCCAGTGAAGACATGTAGCCTGGAGCTGGGTTTAAAAACCCGTCCCTTAAAGAGSAAAATAAATAAATMAAAACAGAAGGAGGACTCCTGGACCGAAACTCGTACAATCATGGAGCTGTTTTTATTAGACTCTTTAAGACGACGCTAATCAGGACTTTTTAACCTGACCCGTCAAAATAAAAGACCTAATGTATGAAAGCCCATTTCTGCCAACAAGAAAATACTTAAAAATGAACAAATTATATATAAATGCTTCAGTTAATCAGTATTATACAAATTCATGCTTCGATATAAAATTTTAGCTTTTATTCGGCAAGTTTTTTATTTTCTAATTTAAATAATTATAATGGCACCTAAATGTTTTACTTCTAAGTTAAAACCAGGCCTTCGTGTGTCRAATAATAAAGTTTAATCATCGAAACGTTAAAGGATGTAATTTTAATAACATATCTGAACATAAAACTGAAGGAAGTCTTAAAAAACACCTAAATTATCAGCTTTTATTTCACCTTTCAAAATAAGAGAACATTTTTTATCACATCATGTGCTTTTTAAACCGACTCAATGTAAGTTTGAGCAGTTTCACAAAAATCGGCAAATTCTCGTCCGTGAGTAAAAATCTGTGAATAAAACCGTAGCTTTTATTTTGTTGGTTTTATGTTTTGCTTTTTGTCGTTGCCAAACGGATCTCTTCCTGTTGTGATGATCGAAGAGCTTTTTTCACGTAATTTCACTAAAGCCTTTAAAGTTTATCATCTCGTCCTTTTTTTTTTTAAGTCAAAGGAGTGGAGCTGAAGGAACTCGTGGAGAAACGGACTGAGGATTCACGAGAAACTAAAACTCCTTAAAAACTGGTTCTGGAGCTCGTTGGACTTCTGAAGTTAACGGGAAAGATGTTACAGTTTTTGTTCTCTAACTTGCGCAGCAATCACCGTTTGGTTCACTTTCATGTTGTGTAGATAAAATCATGGCTGAAACAAACGTATCGAGAGGTTGAATTTTCTCCAGAGAAAATAAAACCCTCCTGAGGCTGACGGACGGTGGGCCGTTCTGTACGACTAAAAGAGATTAAAAAAACAGCCAGCAAAGGTTTAAATGTCTTTGTTCAACAAATGTAATTTGATTTTATTTGGATTTATTCCAGACTGAAGGTTTTTCCATCACCTCCTGTTTTTTTACTTAAATGAAGTTTGTCGTTAAAAAGTTAAAAAGTTTCTTCTCTTTGCTACAATCCGACTATTTTCACACTTTTAATAAAATATCRGGATGTCCCAAACCAGAGTTTAAATCATGAAGGTGAAGCGTTTGCTCATACTGTTTCTCAGATATAAACGTGCATTTTATTTTGAAAGGCAAACTATAAATACATTTAACGTATTGTAATAACTTGTGTACTGTAATAGGGAAACGTTTTTTTATGAAACTGTTTAAGTTGTGTTTTATATTAAATGTTTTTTTTACTTTATTCCTTTTGCCTTTTTACATAAGATGTAAATGTTTTAAAATAATTACTTAAAAAGTGGACTCATAAAATATTACTAACAAATCTACTAAATGCTCCATAAACAGTATTTTAAATCAAAATAATTACAAATCATAACTTTTTTTGTGGCTTTAACTATAATTTAATATGTTCAGTAAAACAAAACTAAACCCAGAGTTTTATTCTGTAGCCGTATTTAATAAAACATCAGATTGTTTCCATTTTTTATGTAACATGCTAACTTCATTAGCATGCTAACGATTCAATTTTTCGTTGATTTCCTTGATTGATTCAGTAAAATTAATAACAAAGTTTGTTTTATTAATAATTTCAAATATATACTATTTTAAGTTATCGTGGGGGTAAAAGGCAAAACAATTTTAATAAAGCCAATTAGCCATGTGCTAACTTCATGCTAACATGCTAATGATTCAGTTTTTCCTATTCAATATTATAAGTAACAAATTTTGTTTTATTAAAAATTTAAAATATATCATCGATTTTTATAAAATTTAAATATACCATCCACTTAAAAAAATTTAAAATATATACCTTCTCAATTTATTAGTGGGGGTAAAAAGCAAAACAGTTTTAATAATGCTAATTAGCTATGTGCTAACTTCAAGCTAACATGCTAATAATTCAGTTTTTCCTATTGATTTAATATTAGTGACAAAGTTTATTTTATTAATAATTTAAAATATATACTGTCTTAAGTTATAGTGGGGGTAAAAAGCAAAACGGTTTTAATAAAGCCAGTTAGCCATGTGCTAACATGCTAATGCTCTTTGGATTGTCTGCTGGTATTTCAATAAAACATTTTGTAGTAAAAACAGTTACAAACGTGAAATGAACTCTGCGGTAATGCTGTAAATTTACTTTGTTGCACAGATCTGATGTATTTGCTCTAAACTGATACGTGCTAAACTTTAATTTACGATCATAGATGAGATTCTTTTACATGTTTAAGCTATAAATCTGCTTTTTGAGCTTGTTGAATTTGCACAATCCTAATGGCGTTTCCATAGAAACTCGTTGTTTATCTCGGATGACCTGTGACCCAGAAGGGTTTTGCTTCATTAGATGCGTTTGCCCTCTTAACTGCAAAATGGTCTTTTATGTTAGTGATATTTATTGCTTTTTATGTAATAAAATATAAACTGTTGAAGTTGCAGTGGTGGGAAGTAATAGCTTAGCATGCTCATTAGCATTATGGTAACTATGGAAACAAGCAAAAGTTTGTTTTTTAATTCAGTAATATTACTTATAAAATTTATAGTATCAATATATTTACTGTCATGGCTGGTGAGGGTAAAACACAAAGGTTTAAAAATGTTTTTTTATAAAGACAATTAGCCACGCTAATGATTTAGTTTTGGATTGTCTCCTTTTTGTTCAGGAATATTACTGACATAATTTATAGTATCAATATTTTATAATATATACTGTCAAAGTTGGGAGTAAAACACAAAAGTTTAAAAATGGTTTTGAAAAAGCAATTTAGCTATATGCTAACTACATGCTAATGATTTAGTTTTGGATTGTCTCCTTTTTCTTCAGTAATATTACTGACAGAATTTATAGTATCAATATTTAAAAATATTTACTGTTTAAGTCGTTGGTGGGAGTAAAACGCAAAGATTTAAAAATGGTTTTAATAAAGACAATTAGCCATGCTACCTACATGCTAACATGCTAATGGTTTAGTTTTGGATTGTCTCCCTTTGATTCAGTAATGTTAGTGGGATATAATTAGTTTTATCAAAACAAATGTTTTATTTATCAGTCATGTCTGTTAGCACGCTAAATCATACGCTAGCTACTTTCTGCTAAACACCACAGTATGCTAACACAACTGTAATGATCCTTTCAAACTGGATTGGGACATCCCTTTAAACATAATTTTAACTTGTTTTCATCAAATCCAACGATTAGCTCCATGATTTGCTAAGTTTGAATAAGGTTCTACATGATGAACTTTTATTTTGGTGAATGATTTGAATTGGTTGGATTTACAGAAGAGTTGTGTGTAAAACCTTCAGTGTGTATTTCCTGTGGTGTAGTTAGTTCCTGAGACAGATTAATATTATTATTCTTACATATGTTGTTCTAAATGTATAAAAAGAGTTTCCCAGAGAGCCACTGCTCTCTGAAGTTGTGTGTCTGTTTGATCGCCATCATCTCCGCAGGTGAACAGGTAATCACTTCACTAAGACTCCACTCGGCTCATGTTGCTAATAATAATAATAATAATAATAATAATAATAATAATA